TGGCGGTTGTCCTTTCATCCTCCCAGGTTCTGCCCTCGCCCTCCGCCGTTGCTTGATGTGTTGCTGCTAAATCCCCTTATCTTTGCTAGGCAGGGTCGCCGCGTTTGGCCTCGCTTGGTCCCGAGGGTTTTGCTGTTAGTTTGTGCCTGGTTTATGCCAAGGTCACCAGCGAAACATAAAAGGCCCTCAGGAGTTGACCTTCCTCCCAGCCCAGCGGTTCTCCTTTTATTATGGTCATGTCTCCTCACAAGTGCAAGGTGTTAAAATGGGGAAGGGTAACCAAGAACCTGCGTGGTTTTCTGTGCTGGACATTGCAGCTGCCCTGTCCTCACGCAGCGTGCAGTTTTTCCAGCACCCGCCATAGGGACAGTGAAGCACGTGTGGTGTTGGCAGAGGAGAGGCGTTAATGCTAAAGAGGTTCAGCCCTGGGAACCCAGTGACTCTGTGGGTTTCTCAACCTTTCTGTTTTTCAATGCAGGGACCTTTTGTGTAGTGAGGGAGGGAAACTTACCAGGGATGTCTTGACTTCTGCTTTTTAATCAATAAAGTGAAGCTTTGAACATCAGTGTGTTACTGCTGGCTTTCCCTTTCCCCATCTTTGCCTTGCCTGCGTACATGGGAAGGCATGTGACTCTGCAGTAGCTTGGGGGGCTTGATTTGAGAAGTGACAGCTCTACATTGCGAAGCCCTAGATCTGTGACCTTTATGTGAATTAACCTCTGCAATTAAGCTACAGAGCGTGCTTGCTTTGAGCTCTGGAAAAATGGAAATTTGATTTCTTTATCTAAGATATCACCCTCTGTACTTAGGGCAGCTGATCATAGCAGTCATGGTTTCAGTGGTAAAGCCTAAGTGCAGAATAAGACTACTTCCTTCTGGTTTTCTCTTCTAGAAGCAGTGCCAAGTTCATAGCACCATTGGGATGCTTGGTCTCCAGGCAAAAGCACACTCTTCCTGACTTGCCATATGACTATGGAGCTCTGGAACCTCATATTAATGCAGAGATCATGCAGCTGCACCATAGCAAACATCACGCCACCTACGTGAACAACCTGAATGTTGCGGAGGACAAATACAAAGAGGCACTGGCAAAAGGTTTGTATATCCACAGCCAACAGATGAGATGGAAGCTAGTTGACATAGATAATATAGGAGAAAAAAATGGATAGCCCTTCTTTCCAGGGGAGATAGATAATCCAAAACTTTTAAAAGAAACTAACTCAAGCTTTTTTTTTTTTTTAAATAAAGTGAAAAGCTATTAGGAACAAGCTTTCATTGTAAGCTTCAGTGGTGCTGATAATTGGAAACTAGATGTAACTAAAAAGCATGAATTCTGTTCTCTGTAGTACTGTAAAACTAGAAGAAAATGCATTGTTGTGGATTTAGTCCATATTTACATTAATAACTTGAACTAAAGGCTGAGTCAGTAGGAAATTGCAGTCATTTTACTAAACAAATACTTCATACTGAAAGGTTAGTAACAAACTTATGTAAAGTAAAATTTGTGCAACTTGCTTGTTTTCACATCAGATGCTCTGCTGACTGTTGTGAAATAATCTTAGTCGCCTGCAAATGGAGGTAAGACAAATGTGCAGTTAATGTATACGACACCCAGTGAAGAGATCTGAATTTGGGTGTCAGTTATGCCAGTGGGTCAGAGTAAGGAGTCACGTAGCTTGCATGCCAGTGTGAGAGACTAAAATATACAGCAAGCCATTGTGGAATTTTTTGTTAAGATCTCAGATTGAATCTACTGACTTCTGCGAAAACTTTATGGTTGTTCTAGCTGAGCAACACTGAAACACATGAAATGCTTTTTTCAAATCTTCTTTCAGTCTTTTAGTTGAACTGATGAAAGTGTGTGAAATAACGCATGTCTTTTAAGAAGGTGGAATGTTTTCTGTGTTTGTTGTGATGATCTTTCTGAAGAGTATCAGTTTACCTCTAAGAAGTGATTACTTTATAGGCTAACTTCTGTCTGGTTGGCAGGTAGGTTCACAGTACAATTTAACTGCTTGGGCTTGGATGAAAGTGAGGATTGTCAATATCTAAGTAAACTTGAACCCTGCAGCCCTTGATAAATGCTAGTGTGCTTGAATAGAGGAGGTTGGTTACGTATGAAAGTTTAGAGATTTTCAAGTGCCTGGGTAAGCCTAAAAATAATTTGTGCAGTCTAAATTAATGAACTAATGGGATTTGATTAAGAATCTGGCAATCAAGAATGGCTGCTGTTTAGTTCTGCCAGCGGTGGATCCAGGAAAGTTGTATTCTGGAGATTTAATTAGTGCAAACAGAATTGAGGAGGGAACCTGAACTATAAGAAATCAGTGGATCTGCTGCTCATGTGACTTCAGGGTGTTTAATGACCAAGGCTTCAGCCACTAGTGGAGGCAGAATTTGTGGTTAGCAGAAACATCTGCAGTGTTGTGGATCCTTTGAGGTCAAGCATTGGAACAGGCTGCCCAGAGAGGTGGTGGAGTCACCACCCCTGGAGGTGTTAAAAAAATGTGTCAACGTGGCACTTTGGGACATGGTTTAGTAGGCATGGTGGTGTTGGGTTGATGGTTGGACTGATGATCTTAGAGGTCTTTTACAACCTTAATGATTTGATTCTATTCTATTCTAGGTGTTTTTTAAAAATACTATCCTTTGATAGGCTTTCATCGCTTGCTTTGGAAATGGTGTATCTAGAGGTAAAGGTTAATCTTTCCATAAGGATTTTGCAGGCATTATTTTGCAAACTGATAAGATAGTGGTGGTGGTCACCCACATCAAAGCAGACAACTATTTGCTTGTGATGTGTGTGTGTGTGTGTGTTTTGATTTGGCTTTTTTTTTTTTTCCCCCCAGTTGGTATCCCGGTATACTGTGTGTAGTATTTTGACCCTCGTTAGAAACACTTTGAAGACCAGGATTTAGGAAAGGGCAAAGTCTGAGCCTACTTTTTAAGTATGGAAAAAGAATGACAATACTGAGGGAATGAGGTGGCATATGAGTATTGTCATTCTTTTTCCATGCTTAAAAACTTTGATCATTCTCATTCTCTTGAGTTGAGTCCCATTGGCTTATGTTGTCAGCTCATTTGAAAATGAGTAGGCACTTCTGCGATAGGGTGCAGCACAGGACTTTGTTATTTGTTTCAGCATAAGCTGGTTCTGATATTACTGGTTCATCAAAATGCACAGGATTGGCTAATTAAAGGATATCAACTTGAAACTTACTTTCAATGAAAACTTGTGCCTACCAGAATTTTCCCTGCTCTTTTCTGACAGTCATGTGACCTCTAGTGCTTTACTTACTGCTCTTACAAGGAAGCAGATGACCCTCAGTAGACTGAGAAACTGAGCTGACTAGTCTCTGGAGCACCTCTAAGCTGCCTGTCTTGGTTTACTGAATTGTCCTCTATGGCTGTGTTGAGGAATGTGGTAAGCTGCAGCAAAGGCCAGGGACTCTGTATACAGATAAATTCCAAGATACTTTTGCTGTAACTTAAGGGCAAGTTGCTTCTTTTCCATTGTCTTTTCCAGTGTAAAGTTCAGCAGACCTGATATGACAGC